TCTGCGCCTAGATTTGAGAAGTTGTGGGATTGGCTCTTCATATTTATAAATGATCATCTTGTTACTCTGGCACAAAAGTTTCAAAAATGTTGTGCTAGCTGCAGTAACCTGCAATTATTTACGGTCCAAGTAATTTCTTAAAACATGATAACTAGCACTTATTCTGCTAATATTTGACATTCTAGCAGGTTATGTAGAATAAATATAGTTTATTTCCTTGAAACATATATTAATACTCTCTGACCCTGGTAACAAATCGAATTACTACCTCTATGTTTTCACGCAAAAACACTAAAGATGCATGTCTTATAACTCGATGTCCATGTCTATACTTCTTCGTTTAACTGTGGCGGCCTAGGTATTGCATAATTAGGCATTAGTTTATCCTCATTATTATTTTTTTCCAATTGATGTGATTACGTTTTTTTAATATTTCTATTTCAGATCAACGATTCCTTTCAAACAAGTAAGTTGTATTTTAAACCATCGGAGATGCAATTTTTAATTTTGTATGTCATGCTTTATTCAATGTGGATATAAGATACTTGTTATCTTTACCTTTCCATACAGAACCTTATATTGAAGATATGAAGATTAAGATGGTGTGGCCTTTGTGTAGTCGCAGTCTCCTTTCGTTGTATAGAAGTTGTTTGACCTTGTTTTCGCAACTTGGTCATATTGATAAGAAGACTTAGAGGAACGCACCTAATCCGGAGTCCATTGAATGCATCATCATTTCCAGAGTAGGACCGTTGACGTTGTAAATTCCCAGATGTTTCGCCGGCATAGTAGTCTGCATCGTCAGTGAGCCTCGCCATTCGTAGCACTATATTACAACCCGTCAAAGAGACAAGTGAAGCCGATCCTTTGACCAAACGTGTGCTAAACAGTTATGGTATCTCCCATTCTCACTGGCCTATCACATTACCTATAACCTCCAATCACGCCTTCACTGTCACGATATTTAACTTGCTTAAGCAGAGACAAGTGAAGCCGATCCATTGACCAAACGTGTGCTAAACAGTTATGATATCTCCCGTTCTGCCCTGCTTTATAACATTTCCTATATCCTCCAATCACGCCTTCACTGTCACAATATTTTACTTGTTTAATCAAATGTGGTAAGGTGTGCCCTTTTGAGCGGCCCTCATGAGAACTATCCGCACTTTACACTGGCCTTCTCACCGCCCTTCATCCTTGTGCTGGGAATGTTGATCGGAGTCTGTCATATTGTTACACCACTCATGCTGGCCTTCTCACCGCCCTTCATCCTTGTGCTGGGAATGTTGATCGGAGTTTGCCATATTGTTACACAGTCCTCCTTCCCTAGGTCTAACCCAGTCTCTCTCCTGCCTCTCTCTGGTTCACATATTTCACTCGATCCCTGCCACCCCATCTGGGCCAACTTGACGTCTCTCTCTTGCCCTGTAAGATCCGTCTGCAGTCTCTTTGGTTCACATATTTCACTCGACCCCTGCCACCCCATCTGTGCCAACTTGAGTCGTTATTGGCCCTACCCTACGTCTGGGTGACTAATTCGAGGCTCAAGCTTCTGATTAAGTGTCATGGTCAGGCCTTTGACACATGAACCACGTCTCTTATAAAAACTGTTGTCAGCCCACTAGCTCCCATCGCCGCCGCGTCTATCCTGTTTCTATCTCTAATACCAAGTCTATGACT